AGATGCTGCAGAGGTGGTGAAATTGACAAGAGATGCTGCAGAGGTGAAATCAACAGGCTTTGGCACCATATTGGATGGGGCAGTGGTGCCCTGGACAGTAATCGGGAAGACAGGAGTTGGGGAGGGGGGAGAAGACAATGAAGTCAGGGAAAAAGCCTAGCATTCAGCACAGAACAGTGGAGGATTAAAACTAGTTTAAAAAACAAACAAATCTGAACTTGATCCCTGTAGTTCTGCATATGTTTACATAGAACGTAGAAATAACACTCAAGATAGAAGCAGTTGGATTGTACAAGGTATCTCTCTCTTCTGGAGGTGAGAAAATTATGACACCATTGGGACTGATTCACAAGGAACCTGATGGGGCGGGTGGCAGACCCTGAGGGCATGGGAAAAAACCTCCCACCTAATGAATGCTTATCAGTTCTGAAAACGGCAACTAGAGGGCACACTTCATGTCCGATATTCCTCCTTTCCCACCCATATCTAGTCTTTATGAGAGTCATCTATTCTTGAGCTGAGGGCATCTCATAAGGGTAGCAGCAGGCCTTCAGAAACTCTACAAAAGGTCACCTCTTCCCCACATCAAAGCTGATGGAAAGAAGGTATAGATGTAAATCTTGTGCTTATTTTATCTATCTATCTATCTATCTATCTATCTATCTATCTATCTATCTATCTATTTATTTATTTATTTTTTGGTGAGGCAATTGGGGTTAAGTGACTTGCCCAGAGTCACACAGCTAGTGAGTATTATGTGTCTGGGGCCGGATTTGAACTCAGGTCCTCCTGACTCCAGGGCTGGCGCTCTATCCCCTGTGGCACCTAGCTGCCCCAAATCTTGTGCTTATTGGTCACCGACTGTTGAAAAGCATTTGATTCAGTGAGGAAGAAGGCACCTGCAAGGCTCTCATCAAGCAAGGTGTCTCCCGTGTACACTTATAAATAATTCAAGATTGTCTGAGAGATCGAACACCACAAATACTTCTATCATAGACAACCAGCAAGGCACGGCACAAAGCAGGGAGAGGGATGAGGCAGGGGCTGTCTTCTGTCTCTTTTTGTGCGCCCAGTGCTTACTGACTGACTGAGGGACGGTTGCATTGAGGAGATCCAGTGTGAGGCCAGGCTGAAGAGGCCTCCAGATGCTCCTGTTTAAGGATGACCTTGTGCTGAACACTGCAGAACCTGCTGCAGATCAAGCCCCAGAGGAGAGCAGAACTTCCTGGAAGAGATCTCTAACCACTCCAGAGTTTGGCCTCACCACCTTGGGAGGCTGTCTGGCTCAGGAGTCAGAGGGCCTGTGTTCAAATCCTACCTCTGACATTAATGTGATTATGTTGAAGGTAGAAATCACACTCAAGAGAGGAAAAGCAGGTGGACAAGGGGTCTCTCTCTTCTGGAGGTGAGAAAATCACGACAGCATAAGCCACTGACCAGAAGGAATCTGATGGAAGGGAAGGGCCCACGGGCTTAGGAAAAGCCTCTGTCGGACCCAATGGATGCTCATCTGTGCTGAAAAAGGCAACTCTGAGAACACGGACCAACTTTCCCATCTAGACCTAATCTCTGTGAACTGGGTGGCCTCCAGCTCTTGAGGAAGGATTCCACGACCCATGCGGGAAGGCCCATGTGGACAAAGAACGTTCACTGTTGAGGCTGCCCCAGGCATTCAGATGCAGCACAACCTAGAGATGGCACTGGTCCTTCCACAGGAAGATCAGCTCCTTCAAAGACCCTCGCTTCTCCTGAAAACAACGGCCCATTTAAAAAGCCAGGCTTCCACTAGGGCGCTCTCTGGCTACAAGCTGCAGAACTCAACAGTCTCCAGAGAATGGAAAATCAACCCAGCAGAGAGGAGCGTGGGGAGACACAGGGTGGGGGCCGGCAGGCTGCAACATAAAACTCCCTAAAGAACCTTCCAGAAGCACAGGAATAAAGGACGTCCTCGGGGACATTATGCCAGAAAGAGAAGCCAGTCCCAGGCAGAGTGTGAGGGAGGACCATACCCCAAGGCACGGGGCATGCCCCTGAGATGAACCTGTGGGCAGGTCTGGATAAAGGTCCCACCCGAAGGGCAGGCAGGGAGAGGTCGCTCTGCCCACCACTGAAGATGAAGAGACAGGGTGGAGGTCCTCCCAGCCCCCACACTGGCCAGTCTGTGATGGGATTGGCGAGGTGCTCTTGCGTCAGTGACCTTACCTTTTCCGCTGCTCTATTAAAGCTTGCTTCTCTTTTAGCTCCTTGAGGGCAGCTACTCGTCTTTCTTCGTCTTTCTTGGCTCGAACTGTTGTCTCATAGGATGGAATTTCAGGAAACATGTTCTTGAATGAAGAGATTTTCCTTCCAGAATTATACATTTTTTTCAGTGGAATCCTTAATGAAAAATTAGTGATAATCGATCACTCATGGTGGAAAGAGACGCAGCATTATACAATAAACAACCACCTATTTTAAACCAAGGTCTATGGATTGGTTCCACATTAAAATGAGCTTGACCACTAGGGATTGTAGTTAACTCATAGAAATCTATACTATTGACCTGCATTAATTTTTTTAAAATTATGAAATTACAGAACTTTAGCCAGTGAACCACAGGAATCCAAATGCTAACATTAATGAATGACGGTGATTTTAAGACAACCTTTCAGGAAATGTGGCTCCTGACGTTGTTTCTAAGAAAACCCCACATCAGTGGGGGAGGATAAAAGCTCTGGAATTAAGGCGAGGGGGCTGGAACACATTATCTTGTTACAAGAGGCAAGGAGCCAATCCCCCAGTGGGCACCTACCAGCGAATGGCAGCACTCATCCAAGCCGGGAGCGAGCTCAGAAGGCACCGGCCTGTTACACAGCTTGTGATGTGCCAGCCCTGCCCTCAGACCCAGGGCTGAGCCAGTACAGCCATAGATCCCTCAGCGGGCAAGGTCCTGCTGGCCTCTGAAAAACACAAGACCTCCACAGAGACCCTGCCCCTGCTCTGCAGGTCCCAGCTGACTCTTCCTTTGCTCCCTGGGCACAAGTTCCTCATGCATTTCCAGTATCACACAAGGATTGGTTCAAAGTCTTCGGCTCACAGTCTCTCCAGCCCTGCTGTGGAGCTGGTAGAACCACCAGGCACTTTCCTGGCACCAACAGCTGCCCCCGCCCCTTTCCTTGGCTGGTGAGGTTCTGTCCCGTTGACCGGCTGTGCATAGTTGGACCACCTCAGGGTTGTGACTGTGTGTGTGTGTGATGTCATGTTAAGAAGTCACTGGAGAACCCCAGAGTTGAATGAAGTGAAAACTCAAGGCCACAACTTGGCGCCCAGGTTAGAATGGGCAGTGGGTCTGCTATGGAGCGGCGGGCCACACAACCTGCCGGCTCTGATGGTGTCAGGAGGGAGCAGAATAAATCTGGCAAACACGGAGGCTCTCTGCACACCTTCAGGGAATGTGAAATGTGGGAGAACAAAACCAAGCCTGGGACACTCCAGAAAGGCATCACGAGAAGTGCTCACCATCAGAGTTTTCAAAATAATGCTGAGGACCTCACTCCGTTCACGCCTCCCGCGGGCATCAATCCAACAAGTGAGTAAAAACAGTGAGGCGGCTGAAGAGCGAGACATGCTCCTGTTTCCATCTCAGCATCCCATGGATCCCCCCGGACGTGGCCCAGGTGCCCTCCTCAGCCAGCCACGAAGCAGCTCACGGGGCCCCTCTAGGATGGGGCCTTTCTCGCTCCCTCTGGAAGTTACTCTGTGCGTGTCTTGTGTGGGCAATGGGGCATCCCCAGCCGGTGCCCAGCAGCAGGCCACCTGCAGGGAGCTGCACCGGCCTCTTGACTGTCCTCACGGGGGCACGGCACGTGGCTTGTGCTTCAAACCAAGACAAGGCGGGCCACATGACGGCCAGCCCCCGAGACTGCTGCCAGGCAGAGAGGGCCGGCTTTGGGGTCCGACGATGTGGGAGACGACTCCTCGAGTCCCGTCTCATGATCCAGCACCCTGGTCACACTGACGACCGGGCTCAGAGGAGGGGGAGTCAAGATGCCACAGAGGACTCCAAGGCACGGAGCAAGGGAACCGCAACGTCTGTGGCCACTACGCTCACTCAAGTCTGGGGCTCTCACCAGGACGCGTCCCTCACAAGATCAACAAAAGCTCTATCGCTGACAACGGGGTTGGAGCCCTGCCTTCTCCTGGAGGAAACACAACTGTCACAGAGACCCTGATGCGAAGCTGTTTGTGGTCGGAAAGGCCTGGATCGAAATCTCACGTCTGACCCTTGTGAGCTGTGCAGCCTGGCCAGTCGCCCCTCATCAAGCCTCAGTTCCTTCATTTGTAAAATGGGATAATCATGCCTGGGGTTACTAGCTCCCTGAGCATTTGTGAGCTCCTTATGAGATCCTGGGTATAAATAGGTTAAGGAGGATTTCCTATGGGAGGAAACGCCCTCTCTCCATGCAGATCAGCAGTGACTGCAGGAATTTAGCCAGCACAGAAGAGACAGGATCAGAGCAGGCAGGGATGGGTGGATTAAATGAAAGGGGTTTTTTCTATACTAAGACTTTTATTTTTTTTTCCTGGCCCAAGATCAACATATTATTTTTTTTTATTTTTGCTACGTTTTGAGTTCTGAGCAGTTTCCTTCCCTCCCTCCCAACCCCACCCTAGAGAAAGCCAACATTTGAGACATATATATATATATATATTTATATTTATATATGTGTGTGAAAGCATGTCATACATACTTCCATTAAATGAGAGTGTTTTTGAGGATGGGGAAAACATGGGGCACATTTGCAGGCGCTGGCGGAACAGCCAATGGCCAAGGAGAGACTGACGAGAAGAGTGAATGAGGATGGGGAGGACAGTGCATTGTAGATGTCTCTGACCCCGAAGCCGGGGTGGAGCAGTCACATATTGACAGCCAGAATACACGGACAGGGCGAACCAAGACCAAATCCGGAAACGAGGACCGGGTGTCGCGCCGACTGCTACGGCGCTCAGCAGAGAACAAGGCAGCAGGGCAAGGTGAGGTCGGGGCCAGGGAGGGGACTGGCTGGAAGGATTCTGAGTCACCGAGCCAAGGGGCACTAACGGTCCATGTGAACACTGGGAGGGCAGATGGGTCACGTTTCCTTTGAGCCGCCGCAATTCCGCTCTGCTCAGAGACCGCATCCCCTTCTCTGACGAGGGCACGCCATGCCGGGTGGGCCTGTGCCAGTGTCTCCCATGTCTGACAACCAACTCCATAGTTTTTCAGAGAGACCTTAAGAGTTTCCTTGGATCGCTTCTTCCAACCACCGAGTGAGCGCCTGACCTGGTGTGAGTTCTCTGTAAAATAGTCTTTTTGGCAAGCATACTTTTGGCACTCAAACATTGTGGCCAGCCCATCAGAGTTGCGCTCTCTGCAGTGGAGTCTGAATGCTTGGCAGTTTAGTTCAAGAAAGGACCTCGGTGTCTGGCACCTTATCCTGCCAGGTGATCTTCAGAATCCTCCTTAGACAATTCGGACAGAAGCCATTCCGTGTCCTGGCCTGGTGCTGGAAGACCGTCCAGGTTTCACAGGCGTACAACAAGGAGGTCAGCACAAGGGCTCTGTAGACCTTCAGTTGGGTAGTCAGTCTAATACCTCTCCTCTCCCACACTTTCCTTCAGAGTCTCCCCCTTATCATCTACATGCACATCACTAGAAAGTATGCTGCCAAGCGTGGGGGTTGGCCTGGGACCTATTGTTGGCCAGTCAGTGAGAGTCAGAGTGATTTGGGTTTAAAGCATGGTCTTTAAGAAAGAAATGTAGCCAGTAAACTCCAAGATATCTTTCAAGGTTTCAGCCATCAAAATTTACATTCCTTTAGGAGAGCAACCGCAGGTAAGGGGTGTGACACCGTCTGTGGACCAAAGGAAGGAAAGGAAAAAAAGAAAGAAAGAAGAAGGAAAGAAAAGAAGACAGACTGGCTCAGAGTGAATGTAAACAGCGATGGTTTCTGCTTTGGCCAGAAGCCCTGAGGGTCTTCCCCTCCCAGATTTATTTGTTTATTTATTTTTGACTCAGTAAAAGAGGCCACTCTCTGCCTCATTTCTTACCCAGCCTTAATCCCTGAATGGGCATCGGCCTCAGTCAAACTGAGACCTGGGAAAGACCTCAGCTTAAAAGGCCCAGGTCCCCACTGCATCCGGGGCCATCTCCAGTCGTCTCGACCCACCTCTGGTCACTGGACCTAGATGGCTCCGGAGGAGAGAGTGAGGCTGGTGACCTGGCACAGGCCTGCCTCACTTAAATCCAGTTCACTGGCATGTCACGGCAGCACCTCCCTGATGTTGTGGTCCTGTTCCAGAAGGGAGGCCAAGGTGAGCGAGCTTGTCCATGGCATCCTTATTTCTCCGTTCGCCATAACCGATGGTTCCACAAATGGGCGTGATGGTGCAGTGATGGTGCAGTGCTGGCCGGCGGAGCACCTGCACTTTCTGGGTGTTAACTGTCAGGCCAGAATTAGCACCAGCAGCAGAGAAGCAATCCCCACTTTGTTACATCTCAGCCTCAGAGGCTGCGCTGAGCAAAAAGTCACACCTCAACTCTGCCTCCATTTCAGCCTTGGCTTGTAGACTTTCCGAGTTAAACAATTTTCCATCAGCGCAGGAGCTGAGCTTGGCACCACGTTTGCGCTCATTGGAGGTCTCTGACAACATTGTTGAACACATACTGCTGAGCAGGAGGAGCTGGGGCAACCCTGGAGCGTGACCTTTGGGGACCCAGCCCAGTGGGAACATCTGGCAGGCATACCACATCTGGATATGATGTGGCAGGACCACGGCTATATAGGAACACAGTTGCATTTACGCGTAGTTAGGCCACTGAGGACAGATGGTGGGCATCTTTTCTCGCTCATCTCTGAAGTAAATGGAGCTGGGGTGCTGGTTACTGGGCCCCTAAAAGGGGGCAACACCACTCTGGCCAATGGCAGAAGGGGAAGAAGTGTGCATGAAAATGCTGAGAGGGCAGGGACAGAGCATACCCCTCACCTTGGCAGCGTTCCGTCCGCCTGTCCAAGAACCCACACTAACACTTAGCAAAAGAGCCTTATTCTCAGAGGAGGGCCTCAGGTCCTTTCAAGCCCCTTCTTCTGGCTCCTTCTTTCTCCTCACCTTACAGCCAAGGAGCCACAAAGGAATGAGACACGTCTTTGGGACATGGAATAGTGCAAGGTTTGTTTGGCTCTGTTCTGCCTATTTGTTACATGGGTTTTGCTTTTCTTTTTATGCGGAGGGGAGTGGGAGAGAAAATAGATTTTTGTTCATTGAGAAAACAAATTTTTTTTGTTTTTGTTTTGCAAGGCAATGAGGGTTAAGTGACTTGCCCAAGGTCACACAGCTAGCAAGTGTCAAGTGTCTGA